AAAATAAAATTGTATTTGTTATATTGGAGAATGTGATTTCCACTTACTCAAGTGTTTACTTGGAACTACCTAGGTCAGCTGTGGAACAGATTATCTATTGTTGAGTACAAAGGGAGCAGGAACCCATTTTCTCCCAGTCCCTTTAAGGAAGCAAACTATGCATGTAAGAAATAGAAGAGAGCAGCGGTGGTGGTGCACGCCTTTAATCCCAGCACTCAACAGGCAAAGGCAGGAGGATCTCTAGGAGTTTAAGGCCAGCCTGATCAACATAGCAAGTTCCAGGACGGCTAGGGCTACACAGGGAAACCTTGTCTTGAAAAAACCAAAAGAACAAAAGCAACAACAAAAAGAAAAGAAATAGATGATGGTGAAGTGTAGCTCAGTGGCAGATGCTTGCCTATGGGCTCAAACACTAGCACAGAGGAGAAGGAAGCAGGCAGGGTCGGGGAAAGACTAAGAAAGATTAGTATCAGCTAGTGCCTTGAGGATTGTTGTTATCAAAATAGCCATCTTTCCAGTTAGCCAACCTGAAAAATCCCAGTCATCTTTAGTATTCCTTTGTTCCTTGGCTTGACCCTGAATCTTGAAGACATGTGCATCTGTTCCTTTTGTTATACTTCAACCTTCACTTTTATCTGGCATGAACATTATTTTCCCTCCTTGTCCTCGGTTTTCACTCTTCCTGATATATAGCTGAGTAGTCTTACCCCTCTTCCTTTTCTTGTGCTGGGGATGGAATGTAGAGCCTCTTGTTATATCCCCAGTTAACATAGTTTATTCCTTAAAGAGTTTTTGATGACTCAAAATTGATTTTAGATATGAATCAGAAATCCCTTAGACAAACATGATGTTTTTCCTGATTATCCTTCCATTCTTTATTCTTTCTCTCTAATGTATCTAACACAGCTAAATGTCAATGTCCTAACTGTTACCTAGGGCATATTACCCAATCTGTGGACTTTGTTTTCATTGTCAAAGGAAGGATTGGGAATATATCAGTAGTAGTAAGTCATACTAAATTAAATACTGACTCTTAAATGATGAGGTTTGAGCCGGGCGGTGGTGGCGCACGCCTTTAATCCCAGCACTCGGGAGGCAGAGCCAGGCGGATCTCTGTGAGTTCGAGGCCAGCCTGGGCTACCAAGTGAGTCCCAGGAAAGGCGCAAAGCTACACAGAGAAACCCTGTCTCGAAAAAACCAAAAAAAAAAAAAAAAAAAAAAAAAAAAAAAAAAAAAAAAATGATGAGGTTTGAAAATGTATTGTATTAAAGTGTATATGTGTGTGTGTACATAGGTGCACATGTCTGTGCATGTGTTCCAGGGTGGGTTAAAGGAGATTGCTCAGATTTTATCATTATAATCCTAGTATCTAGGTGAAAGAGTCTTCAGAGATGAGAACTCTTAAAGAGTTATCCGCAACTGGGCCTGGCTCAGGCTGACCTGGAACTCATAGCAGTCCTCCTGCCTCTCACCTTTTCAAGTGTTGGGATTTTAGGTATGTACTACTGTCTGGCTCTTTAAAACTTTTTTAATTGTATTTTTGTTATTTATTAAGTGTGTGTGTGTGTGTGTGTGTGTGTGTGTGTGTGTGTGTGTTAGAGTTTCTATTGCTGTACTGAAACACCATGACCAAAGCAATGTAGGAAGGAAAGGGTTTATTTCATTTTACAATTTTCATGTCACAATACTTCATAGAGGGAAGTCAGGGCAGGAACCTGCAAGCAGGAACTGAAGAAGAGGCCATGGAGGTTGCTGCTGCTTACTGACTTGTTCCTCTTGGCTTGCTCAGTCTACTTCCTTAAACACCCAGGACCATCTGCCCAGGGTGGCACCATCCACAAGGGCTGAGTTCTCCCACATCAACCATTAACCAAGAAATTATCTCCATTCTTGCCTATAGGCCAATCTTATGGAGGTATTTTCTCAATTAAAATTTCCTCTTGCCGGGCGGTGGTGGTGCACGCCTTTAATTGCAGCGTTAGGGAGGCAGAGCCAGGCGGAACTCTGTGAGTTCGAGGCCAGCCTGGTCAACAGAGTGAGATCCAGGACAGGCACCAAAACTACCAAGAGAAAACTTGTCTCGGGGAAAAAAATTTCCTCTTTCCAGATAAGTCAAGGTTTATGTCAAGTTGACAAAACCCAACTAGTCTAGTGTGTGTGTACATGCATGCATGTGTGTGGTCATGAGAGAAAGAGACAGACAGACAAACAATTGAGGACTTTTGGGAATGATTTCTCTCCTTCTACTGTGGGGGTGCTAGGGATCAAATTCAGGTTGTGAGGCTTGGTGGTAAGTGCCTCTTAGCAGTTGAGCCATCTTGTTGGTCTTTTTGATTTTTTGGGACAAGGTCTTAGTACATAGTCTAGGCTGGCTTTGGACTCACTATTTGGGTAGTTTGGCTAAAATCTCAAGGTACTCTTGCCTTAGCCTCTTGAACCTTTTATGAAAAGAAGCTGGGCATGGTCAGGAACACTTGTAATCACAACACTCGAGAGGCAGAAAAGGAAGATCGCTGGAAGTTCAAGGCCAGCCTGGGCTACATAGTAGGACCCTGTCTCAGAAGGCAAGCCAGACATTGTGGTGCAGTCCTGTAAACACTGCATTTGGGAAACAGTGGTGGGGAGATTAGGGGTTCAATGCCACCCCTAGCTGCATAGTGAGTTTGAGGCCAGTCTGGGCTACTTAGTGAGTTCCATTACAGCCTGGACTACAGAGTGAGATGCCTCACAAACCAAACAAAGAACAAAATGAGGAGGGTAGTTGGGTAGCAAGAAGTCCCAGGATGTAGCTGGATTATCTCGGTACTTTGAAATAAGGACTAAGATTTCCCAATGAATTTGGGTGTGGATATTAATGCAAGGGATGGAGGTGTCAGGGTTGACTCTTAGGGGTTTTACTTGAATAACTGGAAAAATTGCATCACATCGCCAGTAGCAGTACTGGGGAAGATCTTGTGGGGAACAGGTTTTGGGAATGGGAGATCAGTAGATACAAAATTGCAGGTGGATACACAAGTCTGGAATTCAAAGGAGAGGTTCAGGACCTCTGCAAATAATGTAGCCTCTGTAATCTCCATTTTCTGATCTCAAGAAGGGAGCTATAATAGTACTGTTTATTATACTAGGTCGATAGTAGGATTAAGTGAAAAAAATGTACATAAACAATTTGAGGGGGACACTGAAGGATCACTTGTTGGTTAAAAGCACTTGTTATTCTTGCTGAGGAACTGGGTTTGGTTCTTAGCACCCACATGATGGCACACAACTGTCTCTAACTTCAGTTTTTTGTTTTTTGGTTTGTTTTTTGGTTTGTGGTCCCCCCCCCCCCCCCCCCCCCCGAGACAGGGTTTCTCTGTGTACCTTTGGTGCCTTTCCTGGATCTCACTCTGTAGACCAGGCTATCTTCGAACTCACAGAGATCTGCCTGGCTCTGCCTCCCTAGCGCTGGGATTAAAGGCGTGCGCCACCACCGCCCGGCCTTGACTCTCTTTTTTGGCTTTCTCAGGCATTGTACACAGACATACACACAGACAAAACAAACATTCATATACACATAAAGTAGAAATAAGTAAATTTAGGCCAGACATGGTAGTGCATACCTTTAATCCCAGCATTTTGGAGGCAGAGACAGGGAATCCCTGAGTTTGAGGCCAGCCTGATTTACATAGTGAGTTCCAAAACAGCCAGGGCTACACAGAGAAATCTTGTCTTGACCCCTGCCCCCAAGGGGGAGAAAAAAAAAACAACCAAAAAACAAAACCTTACAACTTTACAAAAGAGAAGAATTTGAGGAAGAGGGCTGACAGGATGTCTCAGTGGATAAAGGTGCTTATTGCCAAACCTACTGACCTGAGTTCTATCTGTGGAACACACATACATTGTAGAAGCAGAGAACAAGACACTCAGTAATTGTCCTCTGACTTCTACGTGCCCCCTCCCATCATTAAACAAATGTAAGTTAAGAACAAAAAAGAGGGGCTGGAGAGATGGCTCAGCAGTTAAGAGCACTGATTGTTCTTCCACAGGTCCTGAGTTCAATTCTCAGCACCCACATGGTGGCTCACAACCACCTGTAATGACATCTGGTGCCCTCTTCTGGGCAAATACAGAACACTGTTTACATAATAAATAAATATTTAAAAAAAAGAATTTGAGGTAGGCTGTGGGTATAGCTTAGTTGGTACTGCACTTGTCTGGCATGCAGATGGCTGTGGTATGGGTTCCCATATGCAGATTCCCCAACATAAACCAGGTATGGTAGAGTGGATCAGCCATCAGGAAGTGGTGATAGGATTAGGGGTTCAGGATCATTCTCAGCCACATAATGGTTCAAGGCTAGCCTAGGCTGTGTCCTAAACTGGTCAAAATGTTTGGCATTATTATTCTTGCCTGTGAATTACTTGAAGAAGTGACTATGTTTGTTTCTGTAATTCAATTCCTTTTATCCCCCTGAAAAATTGTGCCTAATATATATGTACAAGCAGTAAAACAAAAACTAACCCCCCATATGTATCCAGCAACCAACCAACCCTGCCATTTACTCATTGTGTGCCTTTGTGCAAGACACCTAATCTGTTTTCAGTTTCCTTGCCTGTAAAATGGAAATAATAACATTTAGTGCCTACTACCAATGACTTTTTTTTTTAGATTTATTTATTTATTATGTATACAGTGTTCTGCCTGCATGTACGCCTGCAGGAAGAGGATGCCAGATCTCATTACAAATTGTTGTGAGCCACCATGTGGTTGCTGGGAATTGAACTCAGGTCTTCTGGAAGAACAGCCAGTGTTCTTAACCTCTGAACCATCTCTCCAGCCCTACCAATGTTTTTTTAAGGGTTAAATGAAGTAATCTATATGAAGTTTGTGTTTGACACCTCCTTTTTTTTTTTGAGTCAGGGTCTTGCTATGTAGCCTATGCTGGGCTTGAAGTTTGTCTTAGGGTTTCTATTGCTGTGAAGAGACACCATGACCATGGCAACTCTTTTTTTTTTTTTTTTTTTTGGTAGTTCTCCAACTTTATTTGACACTCTGCAGCTTAGTTCTCATCCACATTGACTGTCTGTAGATTTTTGAATGTGGTAACAGGTATGTAAGTTACCAATGTGTAGAGCTTGTTTGGTGAGTCCTCATCCTCTTTACGTTTTCTGGACAAACGTACACAGATACAGTATGGAACATTCCTTATTCCTTTGGCCCAGACGGCTTTATTGAGCCTAGTATCAATGCGCACATCTGGAGTACCCATCTCCTTCATGGCAAATTTCCGGATTTCTTTGAGTGCCCTAGGAGCACACTTCTTGAGGCCCACTCCATGGATGCGCTTGTGAATGTTGATGGTGTGTTCTCGGATCACCACCTCGCTGATGGCAGAACGGCCCTTCTTCTTCTCGCCACCCTTCTTTGCGGGAGCCATTCTGCCGGGCCCAAGTTGGACCACCATGGCAACTCTTACAAAGAAAACATTTAATTGGGGTGGATTACAGTTCAGAGGTTCAGTCCATTATCATCGTGGTGGGACATGGCAACATGCAGGCAGACATGGTGCTGGAAAGGTAGCTGCTACATGTCGATATGCAGGCAACCAGAAATAGACTGTCTCACTGAGCATGGCTTGATCATATAGGAGACCTCCACAGTGACACACTTCTCCAACAAGACCATACCTATCCCGACAAGGCCACACCTCCTAATAGTGCTATTCCTTTGGGGTCCATTTTCTTTCAAGCTACCACATTCCACTCCCTGGCCCCCAAAGGCTTGTAGCCATATCATAATGCAAAAATGCATTCCGTCTAATTTCAAATGTCCCTATAGTCTGTAACAGTCTCAAACTTACTTAAAAGTCTAAAATTCAAAGTCTCTGAGATTCATGCAATTTCTTAACTGTAATCCCCTGTAAAATCAAAATAAAAAACAGATCACATACTTACAACATATAATGGCACAGGATATACATTACCATTCCAAAACATAGGGAAGGGAGTATAGTGAGGAAATACTGGACCAAAGCAAGACAGAAAACCAGCTGAGCAAACTCCAAACTCTGCATCTCTGTGTTTGATGTCAAAGCACTCTTCAGATCTCCAACTCCTTTCAGCTTTGTTGACTGCAACACACTTTTTTCTCTTGGACCTGTTCCACTCCCTCTTAGCAGCTCTCCTTGGCAGGTATCCTAAGGCTCTGGCATCTCTTACATCTTGGGATCTCCAAGGCAATCCAAGCTTCAACTTCACAGCTTCACACAATGGCCTCTCTAGGCCTTCATTCAGGGACACCCCTGACATATGCCTGGCCTCAGTGGCTTTCCTTAGTCGTGGGGCCACATTCCATAGCCTCTTCTATCCTTAACTTTAGAACCATGTGGCCAGAGCTGCCAAGTTCTGCTGCTTACTGAGGCTGGAACATGGCCCTATCATTCAATTACATCTTCACCAACTTTCTTGTTTTTGATAGTTAGACTAGGCTGGCCTCAAACTCAGAGATCCGCCAGCCTCTGCCTTCTGAGCACTGGAATTAAAGGTGTGCACCACTACACTCAGCTCTAAGCTTTTCTTTAGTTCCTTTTCACAAGTTGGAAACTTAGCTGGGTGGAAGCTTGCCCTGAGGTTACCACTCCCTCTATTCCACTTCTTAATCTGTTTATCTCCTTGAACACAGGATTTATTAGCTCTGGTCTACTTTCTGGTGTCCCATTTCTCAATCTGTACTTTTTCTTTCTTTCTTTTTTTTTTTTTTGGAGACAAGTTTTCTCTATTTAATAGCTCTGGCTTCCTGGAACTCAATTTGTAGAGCAGGCTGGCCTTGAACTCACAGAGATTCCACCTGCCTCTGCCTCCGGAGTGCTGGGATTAAAGGCATATGCCACCTACATTTTGTATTTTTATTTGCTCAGCTTGCTCCTCTTCATTATAAATCTTTGTCAGAGTTACCACCAATAACCACATGACAGAGTACTCTACTAGGCTGTTTTGAGATTTCCTCTTTAATCCAAAACTCTTCACTTTAGCTTCAGGCAGACTTTTTGGGTGAGGGCAAAAAAGCAGCCACATTCTTCGCCAAAATATCACAAGACTGGTCTCTAGGCCACATATTAATATTCTCCTCTGAAATCTCTTGAGCCAGCCCCCCCCCCCCCCAGTTCAAATCACTCTTTGCACCACTGTCTCCCATGTTCCTACTAGTATGGCCAATTAAGCAGTGCTTAAAGCATTCCACTGCTTTCCTAACTCGAACTTCCAAAGTCCTTATTTCTCCAATCAAAAACATGGTCTGGACTATCACAGTAATATCCCAGTCCCAGGATCTAACTTCTGTCTTAGTTAGGGTTCCTACTGCTGTGAAGAGATACCATAACCACAGCAACTCTTATAAAGGAGAGCATTTAATGAGGCAGCTCACTGATAGTTCAGAGGTTCAGTCCGTTATCATCATGGTGGGATATGGCAGCATGCAGGCAGACATGGTGCTGGAGAAGTAGCTGAAAGTCCTATTTCTTGCAGGCAACAGGAAGTGGTCTGAGGCACTGGATGTGGATTGAGCATATATGAGACCTCAAAACCCACCTCCACAATGACACACTTCCTCCAACAACACCACACCTACTCCATAAGGTCACACCTCCTAAGAGTGCCACTTCCTTTGGGGGCCATTTTCTTTCAAACCACCACAAAGTTGAAACCCTCCTTCCTCCTCCACCTCCTGAATACTAGAGTAACAGGCATGGACCCCCATCCTTTGTTTGTGTTTGACATATCCTTAAGTGTTCAACAAATGTTCTGTATCAGCATGGTTCTTGCCTGAATTCCTTGAGGAAAGGTTCATCAAGTCTGTTTCTGTAGCTCTTTTATTCCCTTTGTCTGGCTCTGTCAATGAAAAACATAATAGTTCTGGGGGTACTACTAAATAGCTTAGCGGTTTGATCCCCAGCACCACAAAAAAGTTACATAATACATACAGGCTAGATTGAAGTTTTCTTTTTCTGTATAATTTCCTATTTTGGTGCCTGTGTTTTTATGGTATTATTTTATTTACTTATTTGTTCATTTATTTTGTGAGGCATTGTCTTCTAGTGAGAGACTTTGTCTCAAAGGAATGGATAGCTTTTCTGTGGCTGACACCTGAGGTTATCTTCTGGCCTCCGTGTGCACTTGTATACACTGGCACCCAAACACACATGTGCTCATATATACACAAATATACACACACATACTTGTACATACAGGCAAATCCTGGACAGAGAGGGTTGAGGGTAGTGGCAGACATCTGTAATCTCAGTATTTGAGATGTGAAGGGAGGAAGATTGTGAATTTGAGGTCAGTCTTTGCATATACCACCCCCATGGTGATGAACAGGAAAGAAGCTAGACTGAGCCACCTCTGCTGAGTATCACCTATGTGAGGTTCAGCCAGTTTTCCTTATGAATACTCGTATCTAGGACCTTGCACAACCAGTTTTCCATGATGTAATATATCCAGAGCACATTTGAACTGTGTAGTAAAGCTTTACCTAAGGATATTACTGCTTTTTTATAGGTCTAGAGTCATAGTTTCTTTGGAGACTTGAGATCTGTGCCCTCTTTTACCTCCTTCTCTTCCTCCTTTTTTCTTTTTGTTTTGTTTTTTGAGACAGGGTTTCTGTTTAGCCCTGGCTTCTTTTTTGTGGACCAGGTTGGCCTTGAATTCAGAGATCCACTTGTTCTGCTGGAATTAAAAATAGGGGCTGGAGAGATGGCTCAGGAGTTAAGAGCACTTGGTGCTCTTGCAGAAGACCAGAGTCCAATTCCCATCAAGAAGGCTTACGATTGTAACTCCAGTTCTAGTACATCTGATGCCCTCTTCTGGCTTCTGTGGGCATCATGCACACTTGTGGTACACAGACCTAGATATAGGCAAAACACCCATATGCAGAGCATAAAAAATTTAAACTTTTTAAAATAAAAAATAGCATGTCATGTTGAATCCTTTTCATGTTGTACCATTCTCTTTTTGCTTTTTTAAAAATAGCTTTATTTAGTCCTTGACAATTTCATACATGTATATAATATATTTTGATCATATTCCCCCCTCTACATTATATCATTGTGACAATGATTCTTGTGTTTGTATTTTCCTTCTCTGAGAACTGTATTTAGAAGGACCCGCCTCGTAAATTTAGGGCAACCCTCCTCATCTCCTCCACCTGTTTCTTTCTACTGGGTATTGAACCTAGAACTAACTCTACTGTTGAGATCATATGCCTAGTCCATTTCTTGTTTTAAAGTAAATTGAGTAGGAATGTTAACCACTCCCAAATTTCAACTTTTTTTTTTCCCTTGGAGAAAAAAGTTTCTTGATGTTTAGCCCAGGCTGGTCTTGAATGTCATGATCTTGCTGCTTTTGCCTTTTGCATATTGAGATTATAGGCAAGCACCACCATGCCTGGCATGCAGTTTTAATTCTGTCTGTAACGTTTATTCCCCTTGCTTTACAGCATTTATAGTTTCTGGGGATTAGAGTTTGGATATCTCTTGGGGGCTATTAGTCATCTACCACAGTATCTCATTAGGAAAACATTTTTGAGCATATTCCCCTGTGCTACTATTAATTCATGATTAAATATTAGTAAAGCTTGGGCTGGAGAGGTGACTCAGCGGTTAAGAGTGCTTGCTGCTCCTGTAGAAGACCTGGCTTTGGTGAGCTCACATGGAAGTTCACAGCTGTCTCTAATTCCAGTTCCACGGATTCAACACCCACTTTTGACCTCCACAGGCTCCTGCATACATATGGTGCACACATATAACACGGAGGCACACATACTTACACATAAAATAATTGTTAAAATACTATTAAAGCTAAATTTCTCTTTTTTTACATAAAAGTTTTAATTTTCCTGCAATAACTCTAACAGATGATCTTGGTCCCTTCCCCTACTGGAGGCTTATAGGGCCTAGGAAAGGTCTTGTCTTGGAATAAGAATTTTAATTAAATTTGGTAATTATTTACTGAACACTAACAATGAACCAGGCTACTGGTCTAGGTTGGGTTAATTACTGTAGTGAACAAGATCTTCTCCTAGTCTTTTTTTTTTTTTGGAGCTGAGGATCAAACCCAGGGCCTTGTGCTTGCTAGGCAAGCGCTCTACCACTGAGCTAAATTCCCCAACCCCGATCTCCTAGTCTTAAAGGTGTGTTTCTTATTCCTGTCCTGGTGTGGTGAGGTTGTATGGGGGACTAGGGGGGTCCAGCCCCTCGATAGTCCCCTCCCAGGGTCCGGGAAGAATCTACAGCTAGCTGATAATTAATCTTTGATGAAAAGAAATGAATCTATGTACACGAAACTCCTTAGTTCATACACTTTATTATTCTGTGATAGTTCTCTCTCTGCACAGCTTCTATTCTGCTCTCATATCTAGCTCCGTTCTTGCCTGATTTCTCTCTATATTTATCTGCTGCCCCCTCTAGGTTCTATCTTAATTCCTTCATCTAGTTCTGTCCCTTCTGGATTCTCATCTATCTAGTTCTTTCCCCTATCAGCTCCTCTCCCGTCTCCTTCTCTCTCATCTGGCTCTTCCTCATCTTGTTCTTCTCCATCTGGCTCTTCCTCATCTTCCATCTCGTTCCTCTGGTACTCTCTTCTAGCCCTTCAATCTAGTTCTTCCCCATCTCAGTTTGTTCCTCTCAAGTTCTTACCCATTTAGTTCTTCCATTCTCTTGTCTCTTCTCCTCTGTGCCCTGGAAGTCCCAGTATATAAAGGGAGGGTCCGAGCTAAATTGTATAAGGCTATTTATTTACTTAATGTCCACCTCACCTAGGCGGTGTCTCTTTGTGGAATTTACCTTAAATCAGGAGACTTGCCTGTGGGCTGCTATCATTGTTAGTCCTAGGAAGTTGGGTGCCCCCCTGGGTGGTGTCTCCTTGTGGAATTTACCTTAAGTCAGGAGACTGGCCTGTAGGTTATTATCACTGTTAGTCCTCGGAAATTGGGCGACCACCTGGGTGGTGTCTCCTTTAGTCCTTGAAAGTGGCTAGGGGAGATATCTGATTCCAGAGAAAGCCTTTCCTGAGGCTGTTCTCCAAATGCCTGGAATGTGTATGTCTAGAGAGTGATCAGTCCACATTGTTAGCCCTTATTAGGGAAAAGTCAATTGGGAACACTATGAAGGCACACATGATTTTCATAACAGAATACAGCTGATATATAACAAGCCAAGTAACACCAAAAACTCCTTGGGATTTGGCTTCCTCTGGAGGAATTCCCTGATCCCTCCAGGTAGTGACTTTGCCATAACCAGCTGAGTTCTTATGCTATGTTCCTGCGGCCTGCAGCAAGGTTGGGTGGAAGTACTCCTTTTCTACTAGGACAAAACCTCAGATTCCTCCACTGGGTCTTTGCATCTGCTGATGGATGGAGAAAGCTTAGAGGGTGATGTTAGTTGTTCTGGGATAGGCATAGGTATGGCACAGTCTGTCTATGTACCATGGTGATGA